ACATTTGATTGGAGTATATGTACAATATATGTTTGGTATTAGCGATACCTTTTGTTTTTTTTTTCATGTTACGTCTGGTATATACGATACCTTTTTGTTGTCGTTTTTTTATTATCCAATGGTTTATTTCTGCTATATGTTTGGTATATGCGATACTTTTTTGTTGTATTTTTTTATGTTACGTCTGGTAGATTTGTTTTAGTCATTTCTATCTTAAACCAAACAATATATTGTTGAACATAAAGATAAAATATACTGAACATAAACAAAAAAATATACTTATACTGCACATATAAAAATAAGCTGTTGAACATAAACCAAATATATTAAAACTACGCAATTTATTTCTATGAACAAATACCAAAATATACTGCACATATACATTCTATGTGACGTGAAATATACTCCAAAATCGTGAGTGATTAGTGAAATATATATATACTGAACATATACCAAACAATATATTGTTGAACATAAACCCCAAATAAACTGAACATAAAGATAAAATATACTGAACATAAACAAAAAATATACTTGTACTGCACACATAAAACTAAACTGCTGAACATAAACCAAAAATATTAGAAACTACATGATTCATTTCTATGAACAAATACCAAAAATATACTGTACATATACCTCAGAAAATAGTGCGGAAAATATGGGTACGTAAAACCGTTTATTATTCTCTGATTTTCATTCCATATACATTAGGTATGTTTTTTTAGGCAGGTACCCCAAATCGTGCGGAAAATATGGGATTGAGGTCCACCCTTAAATGTAACTGACTTTTAGGTAAATATGCAGTAAATGTTCTTTATTTAGGTATAGTTACAATTATTTGTTTATGAAAGGCATATTTGTAATATTTTCAATTTCATGTAGGAGACTTAAAAATTTCCCAAGCTCAAACAATGCAACATACAAAAGTATATGAGCCCCATAGGCAAACCCTTGGCCCATTTAAGAATGAGAAGCCCATACCAATTCATAATAATTGAAGATGAAATTACATCCTCCACTTAAATAATATAAAAATATTACATTAATATATCTCCCATATAATTATTTACAAAATAATTAAATTTGTTATATTTATTTGCATATATGCCTAAAAAGTTAATTTCTATTAACTTCTCATTTCTATTTACATGGTAACTCCCATCAATTGCGTCTCTGTCTTCTCCCCCTCTCGTTCTCTTCTTCACACGTCTCCTCTGTGATTTGCTTGAACAATTTAATATGGAAATTGAAATTAATAAAAATTAATTTAGAATGAATTTGGGTTCCGGTTGAAATCTGTCGTGATGATGGTTTCCGGTTGAAATCTGTCCTGCTTTTCCCCTTTTCAGCCAAATGGTAACGTGAGCATCTCTGTTGATTTTAGATCTGATATTTTTTTATTTTTTTCTGTTGAAATCAGTTCAAAAATCCTATCTTTAAAAATTTATTGCTTATTTTGATTTTCTTTAAATAAAATCACCTAAAATTCGCATGTTTTGTAGTATGCACCTCGTGATATTAAGAAAGAATGATTTTTTTTTTTTCAACAAATGAAAATCACACCCGTTTGATTCAATTTTCTCTACATTATTGGTATTTGGTGTAACTTGATAAATTTTCTGCAAGATCGATTTTTTCAAGATTCCTGGGAACTTCTGTCTGAAGTGAAGATTTATGTGATCTAACCTTACTTTTGTCAAAGAAATTAAGAGGATGTCGAGGGAGAGGATAATCCAAGACCTTTTTGTTTGAGACAGATCCAAGGATAATTGTTGAACATTTCGTGTGCTTGATTCTTTGATAGATAGGTTTCTTTTTGTATATGTTGCGGGTATATATTGTGTATATATGGAGTATTTATATGTTCTGTATAATATAAAATTTATTGTCGAACACTTGATATGCTTGATCGTTGATAGGTAGTATTCATTTTGTATATGTTGCGGGTATATGTTGTGTGTATATGGAGTATATGTCTAGTATATGTTCTGTATATTTAGAAGATTTTTTTGTATAAGGAATATAAGTAATCTGTTATAATATGCTTATAAACTATATGTATACTTTTATTTATAAAAGTAAAAAAAAAAAAAGAACACATAATTTTTTCAAGGAAGACATTATCTTCATTGCAACATATACTGAATATACACTAACATAAACGTAATATATACCACATGTGTTCAGTATATTAGAAGATTTGTAAGTTGTTCGGTATATATTGTGTATATAGTGAATATATCTTCAGTATATTAGAAGATTTTGGTATATGGAATATAAATAACCTGTTATAATATGTGTATAAACTATATATATATATATATTTACCTGATTGTAATAATATCACATATAAAACACTTTAAAATATACCATACATTAAGAAACATACGCCACCAAAAAAATAACAAACAAAACAATTCGTTTTACAACACTAAAAATAATTGCAAATTCTGTCTACGAAACATATACTCAAAATATACAACACATAAACTGATCATATACCAAACATAAATACAATAAAAATAGATAAATATTAATTCAAAAATAGATTTAAACCGATCAAATCGAACCGGTTTTAGATTTGGACCCATGCTCTTCAGCGGGACGAGCTACTGAAGCTTCTAAATGGGTCGAGCAGCCCATACTTGGCAGGCCGAGCTACCAAGCTTCTCAATAGGCGGAGCTAAATATACTTGAGCCGAGCCAGGCAAAATTTCATTTTTGGTCCATTATATTG